GCTGTTTTGAAAGCAATTAACTTCTCTCCATGATATATGGAAGATACCCGTCTTTGCCAAAAAATACATACCTACATGACTCTTTTTAGGCCTCTTGGGTTGTTTTATTGGTTTCTAACGTACCTTTATATGGATGGGTAACATAGCACTTTATTTAACCAATGATAAGCATTTAGATAAGTTCTTTTTTTTTTTCTTCCATAATATACTTTTTACAAATACAGTTGCACACTTGACCAATTATTCTTTTTAGCTTAAGATCCTTGTAGAATTCTTAGGTTAAGAAATATGCAGAATTCGGGGTGCCTGGGTGGCTCAGTGGATTAAGCCGCTGCCTTCAGCTCAGGTCATGATCTCAGGGTCCTGCAATCAAGCCCCGCATTGGGCTCTCTGCTCAGAAGGAAGCCTGCTTCCCCCTCTCTCTCTGCCTGACTCTCTGCCTACTTGTGATCTCTCTCTCTGTCAAATAAATAAATAAAATCTTTAAAAAAAAAAAGAAATATGCAGAATTCAGGGGCACCTGGGTGGCTCAGTTGGTTAAGCATCTGCCTTTGGTTCAGGTCATGAGCCCAGGGTCCTAGGATCAAGCCCTAGGATCAAGCACTGGGTTCCCTGTTCAGTGGGGAGTCTGCTTCTCCCTCTCCCTCTGCCACTCCCCCTGCTTGTGCAGATCTTTCTCTCTCTCTGTCAAATAAATAAATAAAATCTTAAAAAAAATATATGCAGAATTCTGCCATTTTCAGCACTGCTCTCCACATAATAGTAATTTATATTCCCAATGGTGCCAATTTTCCTACACTCTCACCAATATTACTAATGTTAAAATCTTTGTCCATTTGATAAACCAAAAATGATTATCTTGCTTTTATGTACTTTTTTCAGATACTATTAAGGTTGAAGATCTCTTTATTTATGTATTTATGTTTTTTATGATATCTCTATTTAGGCATCTTGGGTTGTTTTTTACTTATTTTTAAGAGTGTTCTGTTAATTAGAAACATTAACCATTTGTGTACTCTATTGTTTCAATTTTTTAGTTTGCCATTTGCATTTCAACCTTGTTTAAAGTGTTTTTGGCCTCACAACTGGGGCTTACATTGAATTTATGGAGAATTTATGGAGAACTTAGGGAGAATATGACTCTAAAATACTAAGTTGCCTTATTCAAGAGATATCTTCAAGGGGTGGCTCAGTTCAGGTCATGATCCCAGCGTCCTGGGATCCAGCCCCATGTTAGGCTCCCTGCTCAGCGGGGTGTCTGCTTCTCCCTCCCCTCTGCTCATGCTCTCACTCACTCTCTCTTTCTCTCAAATAAATAAAAAATCTTAGGGGCGCCTGGGTGGCTGAGTCGGGAAGCGTCTGCCTTCAGCTCAGGTCATGATCCCCCCGTACTGGGATCGAGCCCCATATCAGGCTCCCTGCTCGGCAGGAAGTCTGCTTCTCCATCTCCCTCTCCCACTCCCCCTGCTTGTGTTCCCTCTCTCTCTCTGTGTTTCTCTATGTCAAATAAATAAATAAAATTTTTAAAAAATAATAATATAATAAATAAAAAATCTTTAAAAAAAAGAGAGAGAGAGAGAGATGTCTTCATAGGTACTGCGTCTTTTCAAACATCCCTCGGTAGACGTCTAATTTTTTTTTTCACACAGGTCCTATATATTTGTTATTATTTGTTTAGTCCTAGGTATTTTATATTCTTGTTTGCTATTATAAATGGAATTTTTCCCATTATATTTTCTGCATAAATACAGGACAGTAATTTATTTTCATATAATAATTGAATGTATTTTTCTTTTAAAAAGTTGTTTAAAAAATTGAAATACTTCAGTGTCATATGTTTATGCTCCTTAACATTTTAAAAAAGTCATACATACAGACTCCCAAACTTATTCCATTAGAAAGAAGCAAGTTGTGCCTGATGGGTTAACTAGACTTTTCTTTCCATAGTTGCCAATTCACCTCTCCTACTTTATATTTCCCCCAAATTGCCTTCCCTCTTCTCAAATATGAAGTGCTAGACTGGGTAGGCTGACAGGGGCTAGAAGTGCCAGTAAACTACAGACATCAAAAAAAAGGGACAGATTTTTTTGGAAGGGTTTGATATTTAAAATATTTCCCCCAAAAAGCAATGACCTGATCATGGCAGGGAGGAGAGGGGAAAAATAGAGCTTTTTTAGAATTATTTATCCATACTTATTTATCTAATTTTATAGCTTTATCTTGCTTTTGTTTTGGATTATGTTTGGGTTGGTTTGGAGAGACCAAAAATCTTTTTAGTGCTCCGGTCCCATCTCGATTTAGCCCTTATGTAACTATAACTGCACCCACAAGTACACGAGGACCCGAATGCATCAAGCAATGGCACAATTACAAAACTTTCCCCGGTCTTCTAACAGTGAAAGAGAACGAGGAACTTTTTTTTTTTTTTTTTTTTTAATTTTTAAAAAGATTTTCTCTATTTGATAGAGACACAGCTGAGAGAGGGAACACAAGCAAGGGTAGTGGGAGAGGGAGAAGCAGGCTTCCCATTGAGCAGGGACCCTGAAGCGGGGCTCAATCCCAGGACCCTGGGATCATGACCTGAGCTGAAGGCAGATGCTTAAAGACAGAGCCACCCAGGCGCCCGGAGAACCAGGGATTTTAAACAAAAATAAATTTAAAATGGATCTGCCAGCCTTTCGAACAAGGATTCTGTGTAGCTCTAGTTCCTAGGATCCTCTCATATTTAGTTTGACTTCCCCCTGAGAAGAGCAATTATGTCTTAAAGTTGCAGAAGAGGGGCAAGACGGGGAGAATCCTCTATCGCTCCCTTAAATCAAATGTTCTCCTGATGTATTGTCTTTCATGAGTTTCAGAATACTACTTCCAACTCCACCTATGAGTTTGGAAAATCATGATGCTATATAGATAACAGAAAAAAAAAAAAGACTAATTTTTTTCCATTAAAAATATCTGATCCTTGGGGCGCCTGGGTGGCTCAGTGGGTTAGAGCCTCTGCCTTCGGCTCAGGTCATGATCCCAGGGTCCTGGGATCGAGCCCCGCATCGGGCTCTCTGCTCAGCGGAGAGTCTGCTTCCTCCTATCTCTCTCTGCCTGCTTCTCTGCCTACTTGTGATCTCTGTCAAATAAATAAATAAAATCTTTAAAAAAAAAAAAATATCTGATCCACAGGTAACAGTATGGGGCTCATTAAATGCTTTCCCCTATATCTGAACTTTTCAATAATAAAAAGTTAAAAAAGTATTTGAACCAGCACTAAAAAAACAAAACAAAACTTTATCTTTCCTAGAGAATTCTAAGAGGTAGAGCAAATGGGTTATTTTAAATCTAGATGCTATTTATATGTGAAAAAAACAAGCATTTAAAATGAGCATTGACCTGCAGTTGCTCCTGGGCCATAAGCTCGGAACTTGCCGCTTCTTGATGGTGGAGCCACACAGTCATTCACATATGTCTCATTTGCATTTCACAACCACATGTGCTTCTTGGGAGTCATCCTGGGGTCCAGACTTTTAGCTGCTCACACACTGTGCAAGTCAAACTCCTTAAAGTACCCTAGAGCACAAGCCCGGACATTTAATTGTTTCTGAGTACAACGTGATGGTGGGTGCTGGCGGGGATCTGAAATATGTTTGGGGTTGGCCATGGTGATAATGTACAGACGGGCAGGAGGTCTTCATGGCAGTTCAACGCTGGAAATGGTGGAGAAACACTGTAGAATGAGGGGAGTTCTTTTCCCACCTTTGCCTTATAAAATCTTAGACAGCAAGATTTTTGCACAATGGTGTGGGGTAGATAGTGTGGAGATAATATATAAGATAAGAAGTCTATAAAATCCTGTAAAGGGGGTAGCAGGGGACTGACATGGACAGAATTTAGACTTATAACTACTGTTTCATCATTACCAAATCCACCCTGCTCTCAACTCCACTGCCATGACTAGATGATGCTGAATTCACTGAGTAATCTGAAAGACTAGCAATATTTGGGTTTGGTGATTGCTAACTTTAGACCTCATAAATATTATGTAACTCTAGCCATTTTGCCTCTAGCCGACCAGCCTGACTGCAATTTTCAGCCACAAGTGGCAAACTGACACTGATAATTTATGAGCTCTGCTGGATTAGTAATGCACATTTCCTTTTGAATTATTCTAGCCTGTAGCCTGAAGCAGATTATTAATTATCATTCCTTTTGCCACACAAGTCTGAAGATCTACAAGTGGCTCAGGAAGCTACATGAATATTTCTCAATGTATTAAGCAGGTTGGTAAATAAAAGTCCACGTACGACAAATGGAAAACAGATGCGTTTTTTTGTATGGCTAGAATTTTTAAGCCATCTTAGCTAATTAAAATTTGGTCCCAGTGACAGTGTGTCCATAGAAAATGATTCCCTGTCTAATTAGAGATGATTTTCACTTTACTATTAAAAATGCACATTGTATAGTTTTCTTGAAGCACAGTATTCAGGTAGTCGATCTATACTATGGATAAAGTTAGTTCTACACCAAGATAAATATGTGGTCTTTGCTGTTTGGGAAGCATTTTCCTACATAAACCATGGGGCTAAGTTCCGAGGCTATCCCTTTGCCTCTAATCTAACTGAAATACTACTCATCTGCAATGAAAACAAAAAGCTAGAAACAATTCAGCTGCAAGGCACCTACTATTTTAACTACATTATGGGTTTTCTGAGCTAGCCTGGGAATGTTGCTGCCATTTACAAAGCAGTTTTTCTAAAGAACGATGTGTTTCACGTTGGTGGACAATTAGGGAAAGTAAACAGTCTACTCTACTGCCTCCTACCTCCCATTCGAGCCCCAGCCAGAAAGCGGACGGAGGCTTGAGTGGCCCTGAAAACACTAGAGAAAAGAGAAGGCCAAGTGTCATCCCTTCCCATAAAGCCTGTACCTGCACCAGGTCAGGATTCTCATGTTGCATCAGCTTCCAACTTCTAGAGCAAGTGAAAGGAAACAAGAAGTTCAATCAACCCCCTTACCTATTCCTCAGTCCCAGAATGAACACCCCAAGCCTCAGGACAGCCACCCTGACAGTGAAACATGGTGGTGCTGGGAGACTATATCACTGTATCCAAAGTTCACCAATAGGGGCAGGAGGTATAGTTAATAATTGTTCCTAAATCAGAGCCAGGGGAACTGGGCTGTCTAGCTTCAGTTCCGGCTCTAAGATTCACCACCTCTCAACTTTCAGCAAGTTACTTTACCATTCTGTGCCTCGGTTTCATCATTTGTTTAAAAAATGGGAAAACCCGTTAATAAGGATTAAGTAAGTTCTTATGTCTTAAGTACTTATTAGTACTTATTAGTACAGCGCCTGGCCCATAGCAATCAAAAAGTTATCATTCAATATAGGTTTATAATATCACTACGAATGAAAAGTTACAAAAATGCACTTTTTTTAAAGTAAGCTCTAAGGCCCATTGTGGAGCTTGAACTCATGACCCGGAGATCAAGAGTTGCATGCTCTACTAACTGAGCCAGCCAGGGGCACCTCTTTCCTTTTCAGAGGCTGTATTATTTTTTTTTCTGGTCTTCAGAGTAGTAGTTAGGAAGGAGGGTGTAATTCAGCAAGTAGACATTAATAACCAGAAAGAGTTTAGGTACTCTGAATACTCCTACACACCCCTGCCCCACGTACACACTCCTCAAACAAAACCCAGATGTTTAAATTACAAGTACATATGTGTAATAAACAGTAAACTTATTTTACCTATGTTGTTTTTACTAATAATATTTTAAAAGAAAGCATTTTAAAAGAAAATGCAAGTAGAGATGAGAATGTGGAGCAAGAGAGACACTCCCATTCTACCGGAGAAAGTGCTGATTGGTATAACCACTTTGGAAAACTGTTTGTCTATGAAGTTGCTGGTTCACTCCTAGGTATATACACAATAGAAATGCATAGAGAGGTGCACCAAAAGACGTGCACAAGAATGTCTGTAATGAAAAAAAGCGCAAATAACTAAAATGTCCATCAACAATAAATGGATAAATTATGACAATTTTGTAAAATGGAAAGATTATACAATAACCAAAATGAATGAACTACAGTTACAGACAACAATATGGATGGATCTTTAAACTGTAAAATAAGTCAAAGAAGTCAGACATACCAAAAAGTACACCTACTGTATGAGTCTATTTACATAAAGTTCAAAATCAGGCAAAATTGAGTCATACTGTTAAGGAATTTTACATGAGGGTAAAACTATAAATGAAAGTAAGGAAGTGAATATTATTAGGGTCAAGAGTGTGATCACCTAAGAGATGGAAGAGATTTGAGCTGGAAAAAACATTCAGAGTTCTTCTGGGGTGCAGGCAATGTTTGATTTTTTTTTTTTTTTAACTGGCAAGTAGTTACACAGGTGTCTGCTTTATAACCACTTACTAAATTGTACATTTGTTTTACACATGTTTCTCCCCTATGCATTATACTTCACAATAAAGTGCTAGAAGGACAGGAGGGAAGAAGGCAGAAAAATAAGGAAGGAAGAAAGGGAGAAAGAGAGGGATAAAGTCAGAACTAGAAAACAAACAAAAGGAGAGAAAGCATTGTAACAATCAGGTTTCTGTATATTATAACGCAAGTAATTTGAAATACTTATTAATATGTGAAATTCAAGCAGATTTTTAATCAAGGAAAATTAAAAATCTGCAATAATTTTTACTATTTAGTGAAAAAATTAGTAGCATAGTTGTCTATGCTATTAAATTGACTAGGCTATGAGAAATTTATATTTGAAAATTTTTCAAATGAATTCTTGTAATTACCCTATTACTTCAAACTGGTTAATAAATACCCTTGATGACCATGTAACTATATTCTTATTCCAGAGATTTAAATTGATATACTACTTGCTGAAGCAGAAAAATCTAAAAATTCTATCAGGAAAACTATCCTTTCAAAAGCTGTATAATAACAACAATAATAACACAGCTGACATGTTGTAGCAATTTGCAAAGTAACTTCATACATATTTAACATGGTGTAACAACATGTGTAAAGTAAACTGGGAAGATATACTTAGTTTACAGGCAAAAACCCCTGAGACTCATGGAGCTTCAGGGATTTGCCCAAGATCACAAAAATTTTAAGTGGCAGATGTGGGTTTCAAACCTAAGCCTATTTTTTTTAAAGTTCTTATTTACAGAAATTTCAAACACCCACAAAAATAGACATTAGTATAACAAACTCCCATATACCCATTATCCAGCTTTAACAATTATCCACTCATGCTGATCTCGTTTTATCTATAATCATTCTCCCTTCCCACAGAATTATCAGGAAGTCAATCCCAGACATTATATCATTTCATCTCAAATACTTAAGAATGTGTATCTAATGATGAAAACTCTCTTTAATGATTTAAGAATATAATCTTATCAGACCTAATTCCTTAGTAATTCCTTAAGTAATTCCTAAGTAATTCCTTAATATCATCAAATATTTAGACAGTCTTCATGTAGTCTCCTTTTGGCATTTTTATATGACAATTGTATATATATTACATATAAATATATATAAAATTATATATATAATTTTTTAGATTAAACAAATGGTTTGTTAAAATAGGATCCAGGGGCCCTGGAGTGGCTCAGTTGGTTACATGACTGACTCTTCAGTTTCCATTTAGGTAATGACCTTGGGGTCCTGGGATTGACCCCTTGTGTTGGGTTCTGAGCTCAGCGATGAGTTCAGTGAAGAGTCTACTGGAGTTTCTCTCTCCCTCTCCCTTTGCCCCTCTGCGTGCTTGCTTGTGCTTGATTGTGCTCTCTCTAATAAATAAATCTATAAATAAATAAATAATAAATAAGATCCAAATAAGGTCTACCCATCCATTTGATTGACATGTCTCTTATGTGTGTTTTTTTTTTAATTTTTTTTATTTATTTGTTTGACAGATTACAAGTAGGCAGAGAGGCAGGCAGAGAGAGAGAGGAGGAAGCAGGCTCCCTGCTGAGCAGGGAGCCCGATGTGGGGCTCGATCCCAGGACCCTGGGACCATGACCTGAGCCGAAGGTAGAGGCTTTAACCCACTGAGCCACCCAGGTGCCCCTGTGTGTTTTATTTTTTAAAAAATATTTTATTTATGTATTTCACAGACAGAGATCACCACTAGGCAAAGAGGCAGGCAGAGAGAGGGGGGAAGCAGGGTCCCTGCTGAGCAGAGAGCCCAACGCCGGGCTCGATCCCAGGACCCCAAGATCATGACCTGAGCCGAAGACAGAGGCTTAACCCACTGAGCCACCCATGCGCCCCTCTTATGTGTGTTTTAATCAATTCCTCTCTCTCTCTCTCTCTTTTTTTTTTCCTCCATCAATTTATTTGTTAAGGAAAAGAATTTCTTTGTTCCTAGCATCTCCACATTCTGGAATTCACTAGTTGTACCTCAGTGGTGTCATTTAACATGTTTTCCTGACTCTTAAGTTTCCTATCAACTGATATTAAAACTAGGAATGCATTTTGATTCAAGTTCAGGTTTTTTGGTAAGAGTATTTCATGGGTTGATGGTGTGCTCTGACGCTTTCTCTTTTTGTGATGTTGGCCGCCATTTATGGTCAGTGCCTACATGCAATAATTCATTAGGGGTTTGCCAAGGGGTGAAATTTTATCACTCCTTCTTCTTTCATCGGCAAGAATACCTCTATACAGAAAACCTTTCTTTCATCAAAGTAGTTGGTCAACCTGAGGTTCAGTTCATACATGAAATCAAGCTAAAGACTTGATTCTTTCCCCTTACTTAACCAGTTTTCAAGAATTAGCTAGTAAAAACCTATAGCTTTGAACAACCAAATTCATAATTCTTAATCAGAAATTAGATAAAATTTCTATCTAAAACATTCAGATGTAGGGGTGCCTGGGTTGTTAAGCATCTGCCTTTGGCTAAGGTCATGGTCCCAGGGTCCTGGGATCAAGCCCTACATCAGGCTCCCTGCTCAGTGGGGAAGCATGGTTCTTCCTCTCCCTCTGCCTGATGCTCCCCCTGCTTGTGTTCTCTCTCAATCTCTCTCTCTGTCAAATAAATAAATAAAATTGTTTAAAAAATTAAAATAAAACATTCAGGTGTAAAATTTATATACTTCTATGTAAGTGGTTTCTATATGAAAGATTATGTCAAGTAAAGATTATGTTTGAAGTAAAAATACTGGTTAGAGTCCAGTAAAACAGAAACATTTTACTTATTCTTATCATAAAGTAAAAACACGAATCACCTAGGCTTAACATCACATATCTTCTCCATCCTTCTCACACTTTCATTTTGGAGGTGGGTGGGGCTGGAAGATTAGAGTTTAACAAGACTGCAGTTTAAGGGGGGTAAAACCCAATTCCAAATGGATTTTTCTTTAGGAAAGAAACCCAAAACCGAAAGAAAACAGGTAAAATTAGCTATTGGAAATTATGGCCATGTGAATCAACCCTTGCTCCCTACATCTGGCAGCACTTAGCTCCCCGAGGGCATGCTTGGTGCCCTAGGGCCCCAGTACATATGTTTGACCAGCCGGGAAACAACAAAGGACACAGAGGCTAGAAAAAGAGGCAGCAGGTAACCATCAGGCCAGCCAAATGGCTGAGGCACTTTGACAAAACACACAATGAAGCAACTGGTTATTCCCATGGCTGAAAAGTCAAGGAGGGAGGGCTTTTATTTGAGGACTCAAATTCCACAAGTTGCCTCTTTAAGTCACTGGGTTACTTCCTTGTTTTAATCGAGTCCACAAATCCTCCCTTTTCTTTCAGACACTTAGTGAAAAAGATCGGAGACAAACTGTATAAAGCCACCTTGTGTTCTTGCCAAAAACCCTTCTGAGAATTCAGCTCAGCTATTTTCTGGACTCTACTTCTAGACTGTGGAGGAAGTGAAGGTGCCAAGTTATTCTGCACACATACTGGCATTATGTTCAAAAAGAGACAGAAGCATTCGTGAATGACATAGTCTATTTATATCCATTCCACAACTTAGATGACTGCAGTACTATCAGTTTTAAATATGGCTCCTGCCTAAGTAGACATTTCCT